GGAGTGCAGTGGCGTAGTCCAGGCTCACTGCAAGCTACAACCATCCGCAGGTTCACGCTATTCTCCTGCCTCCAAGCTCCCAAGTAGCTGGGACTACAGAGCCACCTGGCACACCATGCCCAGCTAATTTTTTGGTATTTTTAGTGAAAGACGACGGTGTTTCACCGTGTAGCCAGGATGGCTTGATCTCCTGACTCGTGATTTGCGCGCCGGCCTCAGCCTTCCCAATGGCTGGGATTACAGGCATAGCCACCGCGCCAGCCGTTTAACACTATTTTTAATAGTCGATTTTGGCCTCACTCCCCTGTGTCCAGCCCTCTCTCATTTTGCTTTTCCCCTTTTCACACATTCATTCTCCACATCAATTTCTCTTCATGTCCTCAGAATTAAATTGCATCTATAACTTTAATTTCAACCTATTAGATGCATCATTGGAACGTCTGATATTGCAAGGGCAGAGAAAGGTATTAGGAAAGCCAGTGAAGGAGAAAACGCAGGAGGGAGGGAGCCCATTCCATTCCTGCCAAGATGCCGCGTTAGTGTGGATTGTTGGCTGCCCCGCAGGACCAGCCATGATGGTTTTTTTTTTTTTTTTTTTTAGATGGAGTCTCAGTCTGTTGCCAAGCTGGACTGCAGTGGCGAGATCTCGCCTCACTGCAACCTCTGCCTCCCGAGTTGAAGCGTTTCTCCTGCCCCAACCTCCTGAGTAGCTGGGACTACAGGTACCCACTACCATACCTGGCTAATTTTTGTATTTTAGTAGCAATGGGGTTTCACCATGTTGGCCAGGATGGTCTCGATTTCCTGGCCTCGTGATCCTCCCTCCTCGGCCCCCTAAAGTGCTAGGATTACAACAGGCGTGAGCCACCACTCCCAGCCCATGATGGATCTTTAGAGGGAAACATTGAGAGACAGGAAGACCTGGGAGAGGAAGCGAAGGTTGTGTGGGGAGGCCAGGGCTATGGCCCAAGGCAGGAGGCTGTGGACTCGGTTGTGGGAGGAGAAAGCAGTAAATGAGCGCCAGAGTTCTGCTCTGCTTCCGACCCAGCTTCAGGGCTTTGGGCGATGGGTGCCTGGCCCCGGCCTGCAGGTGTCCTCAGGATAAAGCGGGTCATGCAGAGGCTCTGTGCAGGGGACGAAATGAAAAATACTTAGAACTACAGCATATCAAATTGCAATAAAAAAAGGCCGGGTGTGGTGACTCACACCTGTAATCTCAGCATTTTGAGAAGCCAAGGCGGGTGGATCTCTCTCTTGAAGTCAGGAGTTCGAGACCAGACTGGCCAAGATGGTGAAACCCTGTCCCTACTAAAAATACAAAAATTAGCCAGGCATGGTGGTAGTCACCTGTAATCCCAGCTATTTGGGAGGCTGAGGAGGGAGAATTGCTTGAACTCAGGATGTGGAGGTTGCAGTGAGCAGAAATCATGCCACTGCACTCCAGTCTGGGTACAAGAGCAAGACTCCATCTCAAAAAAAAAAAACCACCCAAATTGCAATGAAAGCAGTGCTTGGAGGAAAGCTTGCCTCCTGAAATACTTTTATGAGAAAATAAGAGACTGAAAATTAATGAGCTGAATATCTAAATTTGTGATGTGAAAAAATCACAAATGGATACATACAGATTAGGAAGCCAGCATTACCGTGATACCAAAGCCAGAAGAAAAGAAAATTACCAACCAGTATCTGTCATGAATATAAGATGCAAAAACCTTCAATAAAGTACTAGCAAACTGAACCCAACAGCATATTAAAAGGATTATACACCATGATGAAGTGGGATTTATCCTGGCATGCAAAGCGCTATAGGAAATAACAAGAAAATCCATCAGTGTAATATGCCACATTAATCGAATGACAGGGGAAAATCACGTGATCACTTAAATTGATGCAGAAAAGGCCTTTGACAAGATCCAACACCCTTCATGATAAAAAGCACTGAGAAATGTAGGAATAGAAAGGAACTTCCTTAACACGATAAAGGGAATTTTTTAAAAACCCACACATAGGCTGGAGGTGGAGGCTCAAGCCTGTAATCCCAGCACTTTGGGAGGCCAAGACGGGCGGATCACGAGGTCAGGAGATCGAGACCAGCCTGGCTAACATGGTGAAACCCCGTCTCTATTTAAAAAAAAAAAAAAAAAAAAGAAAAAACTAGCCGGGCGACGTGGTGGGCGCCTGTAGTCCCAGCTACTGGGAGGCTGAGGCAGGAGAATGGCGTGAACCCGGGAGGCGGAGCTTGCAGTGAGCTGAGATCCGGCCACTGCACTCCAGCCTGGGTGACAGAGCAAGACTCCGTCTCAAAAAAACAACAAAAAAAGAAAAACCCACACATAACATATTTCAATGGTGAAGAGCCACAAAGCTTTTTTCCTAAGATCAAGAATTAGACAAGGATGCCTGCTTTTACCACTGCTATCCAACACTGCACTGGAAGTTCTAGATAGAGCAATTAAACAGGAAGTAAAAGTCATCCAAATTGCAAAGGAAAAAGTAAAACTACCTCTAATGGTAGATCACATGATCCTGTATATAGAAAACCCCAAAGGATCCACAAGAAAGCTACTCAAACAAATTCAGGAAAGTTGCAGGGTGCAAGCTCAATACACCCAAATCAGATGTTTCTTCACAGCTGCACCTGCAATGAGTAATCTGAAAAGGGAATTTAAAAAGCAGTTCCATTTACAATAGCACCGAAAAGAGTCAAATACATAGGAAAATAGTTAACCAAGGAAGTGAAAGACTTACACACTAAAAAGAATACAACACTGCTGAAATAAATTAAAGAGCCGGGCACGGTGGCTCACACCTGTAATCCTAGCACTTTGGGAGGCCAAGGTGGGTGTGTCACCTGAGGTCAGGAGTTCAAGACCAGCTTGGCCAACATGGCAAAACCCTATCTCTACTAAAAATACAAAAGTTAGCCGGGCATCATGGTGGGCGCCTGTAATCCCAGCTACTTGGGAGGGTGAGGCAGGAGAATTGTTTAATCCTGGGACGTGGAGGCTGCAGTGAGCCGAGATCATGCCACTGCATTCCAGCCTGGGTGACAGAATGAGACTGTCTCAAAAATAGAAATAAAAAAATAAAAATCAATCAGTATAATATACCACATTAATCGAATGAAAGGGGGGAAAAAAATCATATGATTACCTCAATTGATGCAGAAAAGGCCTTTGACAAATTCCAACACCTTTCATGGTAAAAAGCACTCAGAGGCTGGACATGGTGGCTCACGCCTAATCCCAGCGCTTTGGGAGGCTGAGGCGGGTGGATCACATAAGGTCAGGAGTTTGAGACCAGCCTGACTAACATGGTGGAACCTCATCTCTACTGAAAATACAAAAATTAGCTGGGTGTGGTGGCTCACACCTATAATCCCAGCTACTCAGGAGGCTGAAGCAGGATCATCTCTTGAACCCAGGAGGTGGAGGTTGCGGTGAGCCGAGATCACGCCACTGCACTCCAGCCTAGGCAACAAGAGCAAAACTCCTTCTCAAAAAATAATAAATAAGCCAGGCATGGTAGCATAGGCCTGTACTCCAAGCTACTCAGGAGGCTGAGGCATGAGACTCACTTGACCCTGGGAGATGGAGGTTGCAGTGAGCTCAGATCGAACCTCTGCACTCCCACCTGGGCAACAAAGCAAGACCCTAAAAGAAAAAAAAAAAAAAAGACTAAGAACCCCAAGCAGGCTGAGTACAAAGGAAACTAAGAAACTAAGCATCTTAGTAAACCAATGAAAATCAAAGTAAAATCTTAAAAGCATCCAAAGAAAAACCATGAAACCTTTTAAAAAGCAACAGTAACATTAATCACTGACTTCTCCACGAAACAACAGAAGCCAGAAGACACTGAAATACCTTCCAAGTCCAAATATCCATATACATACCCATATGCACGCTGGGACAAAAATTATTTTTCAGCGTGACAGGTGACTTTTACACAATCAAAATGAATATCTTTTCAGACAGTGGAACAACAGGAGAATTTTCTCCAACACAATTTTCACTGCATTAAAGATTAAAAGGTTCCAGAGACAGAGAGAGAGAGAGATAGAGACAGAGAGAGACAGAGAGACAGACAGACTGCCAATCCGGACACATTCTGGGGACGGACCGGCCCCCTCCATGGCCTGGCCGAAGCAATGGAACCTGAGCTTGAGGAAGCCTCAAGATCTAACAGCAGAGACTGGGCACGGTGGCTCATACCTGTGATTCCAGCATTTTGCGGGGCCGAGGCAGACACATCGCATGAGGTCAGGAATTTGAGACCAGACTGGACAACATAGTGAAACCCCATCTCTACTACAAATACAACGATTAGCCAGGCGTGGTGTTGAGTGCCTATAATCCTAGTTACTTGGGAGGCTGAGGCAGGAGAATGGCTTGAACCTGGGAGGCAGAGGTTGCAGTGAGCCAAGATCATGTCACTGCACTCCAGCCTAGGCGACAGAGCAAGACTGTCTCAAAAAACAAAAAACAAAAACGTCTAACTGCAGGGTCACAAAAAATGCAGAGAGGGAGGCGGGGAAGAGTGTGGGAGCTGAGAGGACAGTGGCACCAACTCCCAGCACTGGATGCAGAAGGTTTGAGGGGCTGGGGTCTGACGGGGGAGGGGTGGTGCTTGCATGCACATTCCTGGGCACTGGACATGGGGCACTAAAGGCAGAGAAAGGCACCTGGAGTGTGTGTCAGCATTGGTCCCAGTGACAACCCCAGGGGGCTATGGCTTGCAGAGCCTGGCCAAGGACTGCTGCCTTCCAGAAAGCCCCATGGGTCAACCTACCTTCAGCAGGTAGGGCCTAAATTCTAAACCCGGGGTGGAGCCGTGAGCAGGGAGGAGATATGAAGACCTCAGCTTCCTGAGAAGGCTGGATTGCCAAGAAGAACTGCAGCCTGGAAAGGCAACAGTAGTGCCACCCCTTTGTGGGTGACAAGGACAACTTCAACCCCACTTCCCCGGGCCACACAGAGAGACACGGGCAGTGCAGTCAGTGCTTCTAAACAGATGCATTTAATGGCAACTCTTGGGGCAGAGGTGGCAGGAGCTGCGGGCTCAGTTGGCGGCCAGGATCTTCTGCACCCAGGGTATGAGCTTGGTGACACGGGCGTACACGGCGGGTGTGGTGGTAGAGCAGGTGCGGCTGCCCCAGGACACGATGCCCACCAGGGTCCAGGCTCCGTCTTTCTGGCAGACCAGAGGGCCTCCAGAGTCACCCTGCAGGAAGGAGAGAGGAAGTATCTCCGGCCTGAAAGGGGTGCCAGGGCCTAGGGGACCCTGAGCTGGTGGAGTCTAGGGAGGAGAGCAGAGAAACGGCAAGCATGGGCATGGGGGTGCCTGGGTCCTGAGATCCGGGTTCACGTGGCAGTCCCTTCTCTGCCATGCACTCCTGGAGGGAGCTGGGGCGGCTGGCTTCCCCCTAAGCCGGGGCACCATCCATCTCTCCAAACCTCCAGGTCAGAGGGCTGCAAGGAAATCCCCAGGGACAGCCTCACCCACATGGCCTGGAGGAACCCTCACGGGCGGCTGTGACCCTAAGTCCTGGCCCTCATTGGGCCCCAGGAAGCAGTGGGGTTAGCAGCTGAGGGCAGAGAGGGGTGGGGAACCTGGGCCTGCCCTGCACCCCGCTTGCCTGGCCAGGGCCTGGGCAGGGCCAGCCTCACCTTGCAGGAGGAGACGCCGCTGGCCCCGGCACAGATCATCTCGTCGGTGATCTTGCTGCCCCAGAACTTCCTGCATTGGGCATTGGACAGGAGGGGCAGGGCCACCTGCTGCAGCTTGTCAGGGATCTTGTTGGCTGCAGGACAGGAGGAGGGTCAGGGCCCCTCGGCTCACCCAGCCCACTTAGGAGGGAGAGACCCAGGGCCGTCACGCCTGCCCTCCCCTGCACCATCACCACGATGTTGGGTACGGCCCCTGGAGCCTCGGAAGCGCCTGTGGGACAAAGAGGGCCTCGGCCCTGCCCAGGTGGGAGCCCCGCACTGCGACTCCAGGCAGGTCAGCCAGGGCAGGGCTCACCCGGTTGGGCACTGCTCAGAAGCCCCCTGTGGAGGCTCCTCATGATCCGACCTGGATTTTATTTGCATTTGGGGGATTTTAAATTCAGAGGATTTTAAATAAAGGGACAGTTAAGAACGTGTTGGAATTTAGAGCCAAACAGTCTCGGGGGGACTCCACAGCCAGGCAGCCCCGACCCCAGAGGCAGCCCCGCGGCCCCTCACCGTTGTACTTGGTCTTGCCCCAGCCTGTGGTGACGCACACTGTCCCCGTGGGGAAGTCATCGTCGGCGCTGGGCAGGCACACGGCGGACACCGTCTGGGAGAAGACGGCGGGTGTGGCCAGCTTCAGCAGGGTGATGTCACTGCGCACGGTGAAAATGCTGAAGCTGGGGTTCTTGAAGACCTGGGGGTGGGGGCCAGAGTGCCGGGGTGAGGCCCTGGGAGGAGGCAGGACCTGCAGGATTCGAGGACACAGACTCCTTCCCTGGTGCCCATTAAGGAGCAGTCCATCCCCAGGGCCGGAATGGGAACCACGAGGCCGACCCGGCCCCACTGGGCACCTGTCCCTGAAGCAGCCGAGGGATCTCCCCCCGTGCCCGCTGCCCCTGCCCTCTGCTGCACGGGGCCTGGGTACCTTGGCGATCTTCAGGACCTGGATGTTCTCCTCATCAGAGCCCTGGTCAAACTCCCCAGCCACGACCACGTCAGAGGTCCTGGGCAGAGCGTTGTGGGTGAGAGAACATGCCCTGCTCCCCTCCCACCCAGCTGGGCTGGAAGCAGAGCCCGAGGCTGCCCGGTCCTCACCTGACCCCGCAGTGGGCGGCGGTGACCACCCAGTCCTCGCTGATGAGGGAACCTCCGCAGAAGTGGAAGCCGGTTTTGTCCTGGGAGGAAGATCGGGAGGGTCAGCAACTCCCACCTGGTGGCACCCCCAGCCTGGCCTCCACCCAGGGTGCCCACTGCCTTGCAGAAGCCCCCTCACCTGCAGGGACACCTGCCAGGGCCAGGAGCCAGGGACGGCGTCCTCCCCATTGACGATCCTGGACAGGCCACTGAGCACGGGGGGGATGGCAGGGACCCCGCAGCCTGGGGACGGGAGTGGGGTAAAGAAGGGCTGAGGCTCCAAACCAACCTGGGCCTCACCTGCCTGCGTGCAGGACTCTCGGTTCTACCCCAGTCCACTGAGGCCAGCTCAGGACCTCCCTGGCACATGCCGCCTCTGCCTCCCTGGTCCCCCAGTCTCTAGGCTCAAATGTCCCTAATTCTCGGCCTGCTGGCTCCAGTCATCCTTCCAGGATGCAGAGGGTCATGTCTCCCCCTGCCTGGGGCCTGTCCTGCCTGAAGCAGCAGAAAACAGGCCGGGCTATAAGACTGCCTGGGCTCAGCCTCGAGGCCACCCTTTCCTTGCTGTGTGACCCTAGACCAGGCAGGGCAGCACTCAGGCCTTGGTGTCCTCAGCTATAAAACGGGCAGCAGAACCACGTGAGCTCCACCGCTGACACGCCTCTGTTAGACTGGCGGGGAGAGAGCAAGTGGAAAGAAAATCTGATAACCCCAAGTCCGCTGGGAACCTGGGGCGCTGACGATTTGCAGACAGGAGAGTGAAATGGTCCCGTGGACCCTGGGAGGCTGAACTCCACAATTTCAGGAAACATTGTGTAAAGTTTTGGTTTCTTTTCTTTTTTCTTTTTTTTTTCAGATAGGGTCTTGCTCTGTCACCCTGGCTAGAGTGCAGTGCCACGATCATGGCCCACTGCAACCTCAAATTCCTGGGCTGAAGCAATCCTATTGCCTTGGTCTCCCAAGGTGCTGGGATTACAGGCATGAGCCCCTATATCCGGTCTTGGTTTCTTAATTATTTAATAAAACTGGACTTTGGCCGGCATAGTGGCTCATGCCTGTAATCCTAACACTTTGGGAGGCCAAGGGGGGTGCATCACCTGAGGTTAGGAGTTCAAGACCAGTCTGGCCAACATGGTGAAACCCCATCTCTACTAAAAATACAAAACTTAGCCAGGCATGGTGGCAGACGCCTGTAGTCCCAGCTACTTGGGAGGCTGAGGCAGGAGAATCGCTTGAACCTAGGGGGTGGAGGTTGCACTGAGCTGAGACCGTGCCACCGCACTCCAGCCTGGGTGACAGAGCCAAACTCCATCTCAAAAAAAGTCAAAACACAGCTGGACTTTAATTCCACACCATAAAATGGCACAGACAGAAGCAGAAAACAAACAGAACAATGAGAATAGTCAGGTGTTCCACACATGCGCACCACACCTCTGCTAGCTCAGGACCAGATTCTCGGCTCCTGTGCGCAGGCCTCACAATTGGGTTTTACATTTGAGCAGACCCAGTCCCTCACACCAGCTGGCCCCTTCTGGGGTCATATTCGGCTGCTACAGGACAGCGCCTGCCTCTCCTGCCCACAGGAATACAAGCAGGTAAGGCGCCTCCCTGACGTTTGAGAGCATCAAAAACAACTGGTAATAGCAAAAAAATGAGAAACAGCATGTTGGGAGGCCAGGGCGGGTGGATCACAAGGTCAGGAGTTCGAGACCAGCCTGGCCAACATGGTAAAACCCTCATCTCAACTAAAAATACAAAAATTAGCTGGGCATGGTGGTATGTGTGTGTAGTCCCAGTTACTCAGGAGGCTGAGGCAGGAGAAATGCTTGAACCTTGGAGGTGTAGGTTGTAGTGAACTGAGATCGTGCCACTGCACTCCCGCCTGGGTGACAAGAGTGAAACTCCATCTCAAAAATAAATAAATAAGAGAAATAGATGGTGGCATACTCACAAAACAGAGCACGCATTATAAAAATTCAGGTGAATGAGCTGGAGCTCCATGTCAACACGCAGGAAGCAAGAAGATTTGAGTGGGGAAAAAGCACATTGTGGTAGAATGGAGTATTAGTTACATCAGCCAGACACGGTGGCTCACGCCTGTATCAGCACTCTGGGAGGTCAAGGTGAGTGGATCACTTGAGCCCAGGATTTCAAGACCAGCCTGGACAACATAATAAGACCCCAGGCCGGGTGCAGTGGCTCACGCCTGTAATCCCATCACTTTGGGAGGCTGAGGCGGGTGGATCACCGGAGGTTAGGAGTTCAAGACCAGCCTGACCAATATGATGAAACCCTGTCTCTATTAAAAGTAGAAAAATTAGCTGGGCGTGGTTACACATTCCTGTAATCCCAGCTACTCAATAGACTGAGGCAGGAGAATCGCTTGAACCCGGGAGGCAGAAGTTGCAGTGAGCCAAGATCACGCCACTGCACTCCAGCCTGGCTGGGTGACAGAGTGAGATCCGGTCTCAAAAACAAACAAACAGGATAGAATACCGTTTCGTTGATGTAAAACTTCTTGAAACCTCATGTATAGATGCATAAATATGTAGGAAATTTGTATAAGCCCACATTGCAATGATTTACAGCAAGTTCAGAATAAAGCTCCCATTCCAGACAGGGAAGCAGGGAGAAAAGGGAAACCTGAGCAGAATCTGTTTTGGACAGAAATATCTGAAGCAAATCTGCAAAAAGATTTTCTGAATTCTGACAGTAGATATAAGGATGTCATATTCTTTTCTATATTTTACTATTTCTCTTTTAAAAAACAGAAAATGCGGCCGGGCACAGTAGGTCACGCCTGTAATCTCAGCACTTTGGGAGGCCAAGGCGGGGGTATCACCTGAGGCCAAGAGTTTGAGACCAGCCTGGCCAACATGGTGAAACCCCATCTCTACAAAAAATATAAAAATCAGCCGGGCATGGTGGTGGGCGCCTGTAATCCCAGCTACTCAGGAGGCTGAGGCCGGAAGATCGTTTGAACCCGGGAGGCGGAGGTTGCCTTGAGTGGATATCACACCACTGCACTCTAGCCTGGGCAGTAAGAGTGAAACTCCGTCTCAACAACAACAAAAAAAAGAAAGAAAAAGAAAATGCTTGGCAAGTACCCGGCACAATAAATAAAAACCCCAAGGGAGGCCTTGGGAGGTCTCCTGAGGCCACACCTTATCCTACGCACGGCACCCCCACCCCAGCCACTTCTGGAGCCTCAGACCACGGCAGAGGCCAGCGTGGTCCTTCCCACTCCTGCAGCAGGATGTGTGGGCTCAGAAAGCCCAGAAGGACCCTCCTCTCTGAGCCCTCAGGTTACCTGTGCTGGGGATGAGGCCCGGGGGGCACAGCAGGGCACTCAGACCCCCCTGTCGGCCAGGCTCCGGGCTCCCTCAGGACGGGCCCCTTGGACCCCAGCACTCACCAAAGGCGGCCCCCACCAGGGCGAAGCAGGAGAGGAGCCAGGGGAAAGCCATGCCGCTGCCTCAGAAGGTGTGGGGCCTGCCAGCTGCGGGGCCCTTTCTACCTCCCGGGGGGACCCCCAGCCCCGCCCAGCCAGGGAGGCCTGAGCCCACCCTCCCTGTTACCCAGGGACCTTGGGCGATAAGCGGAGGCAGAGCCCGGCCGGGTTCTCTGCCCGACAACCCCAGCCCCTGGGAAATGGGCAGCTGCCCTGACGTCACCTGGCAGCCTTGGGGACATGACCCCACAGAGCCAGCTGTGAGCTGCAGTAACCCTGCCAGGAGCCGGCACCAGGCTCTTCTGTTCCCAGCGGGGAAGTGGAGGCAGTTCCACCCCAGGCTCCTGGAGGCCCAGCCGCTGTCACGGAGCCAGACCTCCGGGAACTCCGGTTCTCCGTGGACGGTGTTTCCGCCTAACACTGTCCTAGAAGCAAAGGGCTCAGGGCGCTGTGGATTCTGCAGTGTCACCGCACGTCACCAGTGAAGCCAAGTCATTTCTGAGTGTGGCGAGGGTCTGGGTGACACGGCTTGGTGGCCCTAACAGGTGGGCAAAGCCACTGACACGTGTCCCCCTCTGCCACAGCACCCGACAGGATTCACTCTTTCTTCAATGACTCATAAGGAACTAATCATTTCAAAGTTTCAGTTTCTTACAAAATGGAACTTTGATTCCACACCATAAAATGACACAGAAAACTTTTTAAGATGGAGTCTCACTCTCACCCAGCCAGAGTGCAGCGGCGCAATTTCGGCTCACTGCAGCCTCCGCTTCCTGGGTTCAAGTGATTCCCCGCCTCAGCCTTCCAAGTAGCTGGGATTACAGGTGCCTGCCACCGCGCCCAGCTAATTTTTTTTTTTTTTTTGAGATGGGGTCTCGCTCTGCTGCCTAGGCCGGAGTGCAGTGGTGCAATCTTGACTTACTGCAGCCTCTGCCTCCCAGGTTCAAGCTTTTCTCCCACCTCAGCCTCTTGAGTAGCTGGGATTACAGGCGTAGCACCACACGCGGCTAATTTTTGTATTTTTCGTAGAGACAGGTTTTCACCATGTTGTCCAGGCTGGTCCCAAACTCCTGGCCTCAGGTGATCCACCCTCCTCGGCCTCTCAAAGTGCTGGGATTACAGGCGTGAGCCACTGCGCCCGGCCAATTGTTGTATTTTTAGTAGAGACAGGGTTTCACCATGTTGTCCAGGCTGGTCCCAAACTCCTGGCCTCAGGTGATCCACCCTCCTCGGCCTCTCAAAGTGCTGGGATTACAGGCGTGAGCCACTGCGCCCGGCCAATTGTTGTATTTTTAGTAGAGACAGGGTTTCACCACATTGGCCAGGCTCATCTCGAACTCCTGGCCTCAGGTGATCCTCTGGCCTTGGCCTCCCAAAGTGCTAACATTACAGGCGTGAGCCACTGCGCCTGTCTGAAAATAAACTTTTTTGAGGAAGCAGAAAAACTTTTCGTTGTCACAAAACAAGGAGGAAAGACAGATGTGGGTGACAGGTCGGTGACTCTGGGCAGGAAGCAGAGGCCAAGGGATCCTCGGCACCCTGTGGGCAGGTATTCAGGGGACAGAGCCCACAGCATCCCTGCCCTTACGGGCCTGAGACGCTCGTGACACACACACACGACACAGATTAGCATGTAACGTAGTGACCACCACAGTCACCTGGGGCAAGGCTGAACAGGACGGGCTGCACTGTAGTTCCGGACAATGGGGGTCTGAAAGGAAGACGCAGTGGGAGGATGGCATTTCCACTGAAGGCCTTGGGCTCTGTGGTCAGCGGGCCGCATCACCTTGGATTTAGAATATCCCCTCCCCAGCCTGGCACGGTTGGCTCACGCCTGTAATCCCAGCACTTTGGGAGGCTGAGGCGGTCGGATCACAAGGTCAGGAGATCGAGACCATCCTGGCTAACCCTTGAACTACTAAAAATACAAAAAATTAGCCAGGCGTGGTGGTGGGCGCCTGTTGTCCCAGCTACTTGGGAGGCTGAGGCAGGAAAATGGCGCGAACCCGGGAGGCAGAGCTTGCAGTGAGCCGAGCTCACACCACTGCACTCCAGCCTGGGCGACAGAGCGAGACTCCATCCCAAAAAAAAAAATAAGAATATCCCCTCCCCACTTCCACCGCTGCTGGAGAACACAACTATAAAGCAAAACTAAATTTATACACTAAAGACAAAATTTCAAAAGAAACCAAGTTCACATCAACCATGTTGCTTTTTTTTTCTTTTTTTTTTTTTTGAGACAGAGTCTCGCTCTGTCGCCCAGGCTGGAGTGCAGGGGTGTGAGCTCAGCTCACTGCAACCTCTGCCTCCTGGGTTCAAGTGATTCTCCTGCCTCAGTCTACCAAGTAGCTGAGATTATAGGCATGCACCACTATACCCGGCTAATTTTTGTATTTTTAGTAGAGATGGAGTTTTGCCATGTTGGCCAGGCTGGTCTTGAACTCCTGACCTCAAGTGATCCACTCGCCTTGGCCTCCCAAAGTGCTGGGATTACAGTCATAAGCCACCACACCAGGCTGATAGCTACCATTTAAAAAACAGAAAACAACAAGTGGTAGATGTGGAAAAACTGGAACCCTCATACATTGTTGCTGGGAATGTAAAATGGTGAAGCTGCTATGGAAACAGTTCGGCATGGCTGGGCGCAGTGGCTCATGCCTGGAATCTTGGCACTTTGGGATGCCAAGGTGGGAGGATCACTTAAGCTAAGGAGTCCAAGACCAGCCTGGGCAACATAGTGAGACTCCGTCTCTACAAAAAAATTAAAAAAACAACATTAGCTGGGCGTGGTAGCATAGTTTCAGCTACTCAAGAGGCTGAAGTAGGAGGATAACTTGAGCCTGGGAGGTCAAGGCTACAGTGAGCTGAGATCCAGCCAAGGCAACAGAGCAAGGCCTTGTCTTAAAATAATAATAATAATTTTAAAAAAGTACAAAGAAAGCAGTTTGGCAGTTCCACAAAAACAAACAAACATGGAGTTACCTCATAACCCTACAATTCCACTCCTTGGAGGTACAGTCCCCCAGAATAAAAGGACTTAAGCAGACACACACCAGGGTTCACAGCAGCCCTATTCCCGACAACCAAAAGATAGAAACCACCCCCATTGTTCATCAGCAGAGGAATGAGTAAAATGTGAGCTCTCCACGCCACTATTATTCAGTCATAAGAAGGAACGAAGCAGGCCTGGTGTGGGGACGCACACCTGTAATCCCTGCACTGTGGGAGGACAAGGTGGGAGGATTGTTTAAGGCCAGGAGTTTGAGACCAGCCTGGGCAACAAAGTAAGACCCCTTCTCTACAACATTTGTTTTTAATGAGCTGGGTGTGGTGGTACATGCCTGTGGTCCCAGCTACATGGGAGTCTGAGGCAGGAGGATCGCTTGAGCCCAGGTGGTCGAAGCTGAAGTGAGCTGTGTTTGTGCCACCACATTCCAGCCTGGGCAACAGAGTGAGACCCTGTCTCAAACACAAACACAACACAAAATGAATCAGGTACTGATACATGCCAAATGCCAAAACACAGTTTTGTTTTTTTTTTTTTTTTGCTCTTGTTGCCCAGGCTGGAGTGCAGTGGGCCTGATCTTGGCTCACTGAACCTCCTGGCCTCGCCAGGTTCAAGCCTTCTCCTGCCTCGCCTCCCAGTAGCTCGGATATACGGGGATGATGCCGCACCCACCCTTAATTATGTAATTTTTAGTGAACCAGTTTCACTTGTGTTGTTATAGGAATGGGTCTCAAAATCTCTTGACTTTGTGTCACCCGCCTGGCTCCCAAAAGCTGGGATTACAGGTGTGAGCGCCCCGACACCAGGCTGAATCTTAAATGATGGTCTGCTACGTGAAATAAGATACAAAGATAAGTATTGCATTATTCCATTTATATGAAGCTTTTTTTAAAAAAAAACTTTTTTGTGAGCCACCACGCCGCTGACTGTGGAGTGTCTTATCTTGTATTTTACTTTATTTTTTGAAACAGGAGTCTCACTCTGTCGCGCCAGGCTGGGAGTGAAAAAAGGCAGTGGGTGTGACTCGGCTCAACTGCAACACCTCTCGCCATCCAGATTCAAGCGATTCTCCTGGCCTCAGCCTCCTGTAGCGGGATTCCAGGGCATGTGCCCCACCCCAATATATGAAACTTTTTTTTTTTTTTTTAATGGAGTCATCACTCTTGGTCACAGCGGATGGCAGTGGCAATCTCGGCTTATTGCAGCTTCTGACCTCCCAGGTTCATGCCATTCTCCTGCTCAGGCCTTCCCGAGTTGCTGGGATTACAGCGCCCGCCACCACGCCTGGCTAATTTTTTGTATTTTTAGGTAGAGACGGGGTTTCACTGTGTGCCAGGGCATGGTCTCAATTCTTTGACCTCATGATCTGCCGCCTGCAGGCCTCCCAAAGTGCTGGGGTTACCGCCGTGAGCCACCGCACCTGGCATGAAACTTTCTTAATAGGCAAATTCAAAAAGACAAAAACTAGGTTTTAGAGGCCCATGTAGGCACGGAGGCAGAGAGGAAATGCAGGAAGTTATTGTTCACGTGGTATGAATTTTTGTAAATAGTGGGATGCTGCCACAATTTTGCATGATAATTACTATTGTATATGTAATTGTGCACTTAATTGCTACACTTAAGAATGCGTTAAAATGGCTGGGCATGGTGGCTTACACCTGTAATCCCAGCACTTTGGGAGCCAACGCG